TGCAGAATAAGTGGCTGAATTCAACTGTCTATGTCAGGTAACTGAAAATGAAAAAAAAAAAGAAAGTGAGAAAATGATTTTTAGAAGCCAAACAGCAAAGCAATCCACAGCACGTTATTGAAAAAGAAAAAGTTTGTATTTTAATTGTGCAGTTAATGGAAGATGCTTTTTATCACAGTATCACAAGGCCGTATATTATTAATACAGAAAAGCTGAGAAAACGGAGAGAATTGAAAATGACTCCACTACATTTTGTCGCACAGGATGTTTCTTCTTCTGCTTTATGTAGTTTGATAGCAGAGAAACCACGAATAATGTCACCATTGCAAGCCTTGATGGTGAATATTTTCATGGACCTTCCGTGGTGCTAATGGGGCACTGATACTTCTTATGGAGATTGCTGTAAGCTCACCGTAGCATCAGACAGGCGATAGTTTACTCAGGCTGCATTTTAGAAGACTTCTCAACGATTAAAATGAAAGCTGAAATCCTGGAAAGGAAAAGGAGACCCACAGCATGAAAAAAAGGGACTGAATATTGCTTGATAGCAGTGTGATTAAAACATTCACCTGGAGAATAAGAGAATTAGTAAATGTTTCATATAAAACAGACATTCAAGGCTTGAAGTCAGGTCATCTACCTGCCAGAAGAAAAGCATAATAACAAATTCTCGAATTACATCCAAGCTAAATGATCCCCCCACATACTTCATCCTATGGACCCAGAATCAAAAGTGATCAAGTTATCACTATTCAACTGAGTTGCAATTAATATGCCTGCACATATTCATATCCCAAACAAAAACTTTTTGTTTAAGCTACTTTCATTGTACATATAACCCTCATGGAGGTTTTTAATGTTGGGGTTTTTTTATGTTGTAATTCTTCTACCCTGAGAACACAGGCCTATCGGTTAACATGCTCGGCTGATGCCATGTCACATTTGTAAGAGTATTGCTTTGATGTTTAACTCTCATGGAAGAGAGTACAGTCCAATTCTTGATCTGTTATCTCATAGGAATGGATATTTTTAGACAGCAATCATCATTACCAACCATCCTTACATGACGGCTAAGTGTAACTGGCGTCAGACACAGCCAAGTCAGCGGTGATGAAGCAGGTCTGAGGTGAAGCCAGAAAGTCGTGTCCATGGGTCAGGGTCTGGGTCAGTGGGACACATGACCAGGCATGGGCACAGCTACAACATCCACTGCAGCGGACCTCCGGCGGGGGCCGGGCACGAGAGCATCGGCTTAAGAGACACTCTAAGTGAAGAAAAGGGAAAGCTCCACTGAGGCTTCTTCTAACTCCTCCTTTGAAGGCCACCAGCTGTTTTACTTCTCATCTGGTCCTGAACCCAAGCAGCCAAACCCCAGAAAGGGTAATGATGGTGAGGATGCTATCAGAACCCTTACAGGCACGTTCAGTTTCCCAGGTTGTCTTCAGAACGAAAAAATCCCTGCTCTTCCAGTGGCAAATAATGTTAACCTTGGCATCGGCAAAGGCCCAGGAAACACTACAGGTTACATTGCTTTCTGGTTCACTTGATGGATAAATTATCAGTGGAGCAAATATAATCTCACCGGTTTGAAGCAGGAAAAGACTTAAAATATCTACCAGGCACAACAGAAATGATGCTAAGATCGCTCCAAACTTCTAATATGCAATAAGCGTTTCACTCTTAAGTTCCAAAGTATGAGATTCACCTCTTCTAACTGAGGGAACAGTTCACACACCTAAAGGTAGATCTCTGATGTCATTTGGGAAGCCCTAGGGCACATTGTCCAGCCTCTGGCTCTTGCTCTAGGGGATCGCAACTCTTCCACGGTCCTGTGTCAGACTGGTCACTCCAAGCTCTTTTTGTAGTTAATGGTGAGAGAGGCAGCTGCAGAGAATTATTTATTTGGCATACCTTAAATTTCTGTTTTAAGATGAGATTAACCACCCTGTAGAGATGCTTCTTTCTCTCCACCAGTGATAAAGGGAGCCTGTCTGAGACCATAATCTCTAGCTTTGGGACACATAAACCAGAGCAGATAAATTCCACCCACTCTGTCTCCTGTGTCTGACCTGGAGGGAAAAGCAAAGATATCCAGCAGGCAATAACTTCCCACTAGCAATGAAATGATCATTCCTGGCATCAGTTGCAGTGTCCTAAAGCTCCTGTACCTACCAAAATCTTATTCACTGGCCTATTCTTTTAAAAAGATAATGGCATTCAGTCCAATACTTAGCCCCCTGCATGGCTTGAGCCTCACACTAAGCACGGCTTGCAAGAGGGAAGGAGATAGGTATAGTACCGTATTATTTTCACATAAGCCTCTTGCTCCAGTGGCTGGTTATGAATCTTTTCACATCCCAAGACAACATAAGTCCCCAGTACCTCAGTGTAACGCTTTATCTCCATTAGAAAGTTAAACAGAGAGCCCAGCTCATGATTGTCATGTAGCCACTACCATTTTTGTCCTTAGTAATTTAAAAGAAGTAAAACTGTGAGAGATACGACAAGCCCTACTCCTTCCTGCAGGGCTAAGCCAACTGCTGTGATACTGGCAGGCATTTTGTCCTTGACTTTCAAGGGCATTGACCAATCTCTTTGGGCTTTACTTGGAAGCTGACAGTCTCATCATTTATCAATCTTCAGGAAATATGGTGCTAATTTTCCTGGCAAATTTTTCTCAAGTGTGAGTAGAGGATTTTCTGCCTTAGCTGAATTCCAGAGTGCTTTTAGAAAAACAATAGATCTTGATTTAAAAGTGGTTAGAGAAAAAGCACGTACCCCATTCCCCCCAGTAAATTGTTTCTCTGCTTGCTGTCACTGTCAAAAATGCATACTTATGTCTAGTCTGACCTTGCCCTGAGTCCTTGCCCAGCTACTGGGTATTTTTTTTGTCTGCTAGCCTGAAAAGGTCTGTGCCATCCATTGGTTGTGACATAGCTGTGGCACGTGAAATCCTGCTGCCCTGAACAGCAGGGCAGACCCAGCTGTGCGTTTTCCAGATGTGGTATGTTACCCACCTGCAAGCTGCCAATGTTGTGCTGCCAATAACACCACATGGGCACCTTGCTTTCCTTTTGTAAGACAAGTAAAAGCTCGGTTACCCTCAGCTTGTTGCTGACCTTCATGGAAGAGCAAGGATAAAAGCATCTTGATTGCTTCCCCAATTACATGTTATTACAATTTCATGTTGTTTTAGGCAATTCACTTCAGCTTCAGGTGTCTCGTCTGTTGTGACATTTAGATGGCCCTGAATGTGATTCCACAACACCACCTCCGCAGCAAGCTGTTTAAGGGGAGTGATATTTTTGGCAGCAAAATTCAGCAAAGGGATAGAGGAGCTGCTACACTTTCCTTGGTAACTTTACACCTCAAAACACTGAGAAAGGTGTTTTACTACTTTCCTTTTTCTCTTTTGCTATATGAAGAGGTCATGCAGAGCTTGTTCCTGGTCAACGTGATCCCTCCTTACTTAGGAGAGGCTGGACAGGTACAGGACAAACTTTTAGAGAGTAAAATTTACACCAGCAAATGGTCTGTGTGATGTGTTGTGAAGGCTGTCTGCAAAATGGTTTTACTCCTGGTGAATGAGAAATGCTCACAGTTGGAACCAAACATACAGATTGTTTCTCTCATTTCCCTGGATTAGTCTCAAAGGTCTAATACGTTGCTCATGGTGATATAAAGCCAGAGGAGATTATCTGACTTTTGAAGTGTACAGAAAGCTGGATGCTTGCTCCTTTCTCATAGCCTTGATGCGGCGTAGGGGAACTGCAGATAAAATAGGAGACACAGCACATAAAACTGATCATACAACCTCTTTCCAAGCACAAGGCTCTGCCTGCCTGCATAACCCTTTCCATAAGGTATATAGATGAGGTTAAGAACTCAGGTAGGTTGTAAATTTGAGCTTTTATTCAGAATAGAAGAATCCCTTGAACTATTTTAAAGATGCCCGCAAAAAAGCAACTCAAAAGTTCATAGAGACCATGAGATCTCATGCTTCTTGACACGTTTTTATGACCTATGGGCCAACTAATTTTATGATTACCTGTTTCCGAGTTTTATTGATCTTTTCCCTGAAGTTGCTGCTTTGTTGTTGTCAGAAGTGGTACATGGATAAAGCAATGAGCTGCTCAAGCCTGTGAATTCTAGTCTAGGAAACCAACCAATAGTGATTTCATTACAATGAATTGTCTGAATTATGATTAGATTTGCAGATGGAAATTCTGAAATAATGTATAGGTTTAAGTATGAAGGGAAAATATTTCTTACTAGGAGTAAAAGCATCAGCTGCATCCTTAACGCATGCAAAAAAGCCTAGCTCATGGAAAGAAGCATGATGGAACAGTAAGAGCATGATGGGGGGGGTTAGGAGATCTGGGTTCAATTCTTGGCTTGCGCTAAATGGATTTGGATGAAAGTCAGTTAAGGCATATATTGAACTCTTGTTCTGGATCTATTTTGAAGGGTTTACAGCGTTTCCATGCCAAATTCCTCATTGCTTTATTCAGCTGGAGGTCCACAGCCCCAGCATCTACCTACCACAGAAATGAATGGCTAAGGCATGTTATCAGGAACCTCTAGCAATAACACACTGTTGAAGGGTGACAGTACATCTTAATTGCTGCTGTCATTTCCAAAGAGATAATGAATTTAAGTTGTTGATGCTCTGATGCTCAGAAACACCAGTGGCATATATAGTTTAAGGCAATGGTTTACATAGGCTTTGGTGGGAAGGACATGCTCAGTCCTTTACACATATCTCAGCTGAAGAGTGGTATTTCTTTATTTTCAGGTAACTCAATTGCTTTAGACTGTGTGACCATACCCTTCAGGCGGGTACGTCCACTCATATAAAAGGCTACACATTCCCACAGGAAGAAACTCTTCTGAAATTAATTCTTCTTCCTGCTGTCTCCCCACTGTAAAAGGGCCAGCCTGTACTAGACAGACATCTGCTGACTAAACTAATACTCTTGCTTCCCTCTCTCTTTTCCCAGTTATCACGCTCTGCTGTATCTTCAAGTGCCGGATTCCCCGGACAAAGAAAGAGATTGAGGCACGATATGCTCAACGGCAAGCAGCCAAGACATATGCAGACAAGCTGGAGACTGTGCCACCGCTCAATGAGCTGACGGAGATCCCTGGAGGTACTTCCCACGCCGACACCTACACATGTGACCCATCTCTTCTTTTGGGGCTTTCTGTATGCATGAATGCAAAGGGCTAGGTCCTCCCGTAGTGTAAATCAGTGTGGCTCCTTGGGCACGACCATTAAGATATTGCCATGACTTGGTAAACACTTCCCATTCGCATGCATAAACCTGCAGCATTTGTGGCAGCGGGCATGGCCATTTAGATGAAAGGGACAGTTTCTCCATTAGTACAAGTCAGGGTCATTCCTTTGAAGTTCATGTTTAAAATTTCCAGAGAGTCTGATTCATTTTAAGGGCCAGTTCCTGGGTTGGGGGAGGGGGAGGTGTCAGTAGGAAGAAAAAGAGTTGTTAGAGTTTCACATTTCCCATAAATGTCTTGCCCCATTTGGATGGCCAAGAGTATTTCTGTCACTGGTCTCCACTCCTCTCACTCATTTTTCCTGATTCTGTACCCTAGGCTCTGCTGAAACTCTCCTAACTCTCTCTGGTCATGTCCAGTCCAGACCTCTCAAGTCCTTGCCTGTGGTGAAAGAAGAAGATGAAATGACCCTGCAAGGAAATTAGGGGACTGCCTTCCTGTCTGTCTGTCTATGGCTTCTCTTTTCTAATGAGATCCATTATACCTTGGACACTCTGCTTCTCAGTTCCCTTTCTGCGTTTCACCTCTGTTTTCTCAATAACCTTTCATAATTTTTTTTTCTCTTTCCTGTGTCTCTGCAAGCCCTGGGGTCTGTAGCTTCATGGAAACTGGGAGTTTCCTTGACTCAAAAAGTGATGCTTCAGTCTGTGAAACTGGTGAAAGAGGCAGATAACATAACCGTAGAAATTTAGTCCTGCACCAGCAAAATACAGAACTAAGTGCTTAACGGTAGGAACTTGCACATACCTCAGTATTTCAGAGGTGTTCAGACATCTGAGTGTGCCTATACTACTATATATACTGAGGATGGCCAGACCACTCTCTGGAGCTGAACCCAATTGGCATGAAGAAGCCCTTGTCCCTACAGTTAAATTCTCTTAACCTACTTTAAAGTCAAAGGTCATCCAAAAGTCTAGTTAATGCACTCTTACAAGTATGAGCAATCACACGTGGATGTGCTTAGTATTTCATCCTTTGATTTCCTGTCCAAAAGACCAAATTCTGACTCTGTAAGGACTGAGTTCTATACTTTCTACTGTCTGGGATCAGTAGATCAGTAGATCCCAGAGGGTGTGAAGGATCATGCCTGTAGATAGCAGAAAGCCAAATTCACTCATTTGCTGCTGCATCCTCTTCCTGCCTAGCTGTTACTTCTGGAAAACCAATAAATTAAGGATGAGAATATCCAGAAGAGACAAAAAGGGTATTTGGGCAGCAGAATGGCCGCTTCACCCCAGAACGCTAATAAATTTTGATGTCCTGTGAGCAGCCTTTACATCCCACAAACATAGAATCACTAATCATAGAATCATTAAGGTTGGAAGAGACCTCTAAGATCATCGAGTCCAACCATCAACATGTACATGTACTCCATCCAAAGACTGGCTATTTTGGTGTAGATTTAATCAGACCATGGTAAATTATTGCAGCATGAACTCCTGAATAAATTACCACAAGAAAGCAATTTATGGGAAGTCAGCTGCACCATAAAGACTACCTAAAATTTATCCAGTTAAATGTGTAAGTTGAGTAGTTGACCACACTTTGACCTTTTGAGAATCCCAGAATTATGGTCCTGGGACTGTGCAGGGTAGGAGGCTGGTGGATAACATCGCTGAGTGGCTGTTCATGTCTGGTAATGGCTCGTGAATACATGTGCTCTGAAGCTCCTAGTCCTCTGGGGTCGGATATAAATCTGCCCAAGTTGCCCTGAAGGAACTGGTACTGGGGTGGGAGTCATCTAACCACAAGTACATTACCCAAGTCTATAGAGAAGTCTGCATCAGCACTAGTTGTCTCAACTTCATACCGTTATCCACAGTGGAAAATAAAAAGGATGTGATTCCTGTCATGGTAGGGGAGGTGCTAAAGTGGAAGAGGTAAATTGTGCCTTAAAAACACCTGTATATCTCCAATCTTGGGGACCCAAAAGGACTGACTCAGCTGTCAGCGCCTAAAGTGTTAGATGCAAAAGCTATGTGTGATCAAACCCGCTGGTTTGCCCTCCTTAGAGATTAGTGTGCATCCTGTCCCCCAAAAAGTTTCACTACATGATTTAGGCATTGCAATGGAAAGTATGCAAACCTTCGGGCTTCATCTCTGTGCTGCTATTTTCATCTGTACAGAGCGTGATGCTCTGCCATGTCGCCCTACTGACATTTGGCAACTCACCTTGATTTATGCACTCATGAAATATCATGTATGTGTCAACTATTTATATACTTATACTGTGACAACCCCTGGTAGACCCAGTCAAGGCCAGGGAGATGACTTGAGTGATTTTAATTACTGAGTGGCCATTAAATGCTTTAAAGATTTCTGTAAGTGTCAAATGCTATTAATCATGAATATATTACAATGCTTAAATACTCTCATTTCTTGGCATTATTTTACCCTACTTCACACTTACTATGATGGAATATTCCAACTGCCAAATGGCCCTCCATGCACTTTTTTGAGTGTCATATATGGCAAGTCCTTTTACTGGACATAAATAAAATGTACTTTAGGGTTCAGTGTATAAATGTTATATACAAATTGATTCATTTGTGCTCTGTTTCCCAGTCTGTGGGATAAGTACAAGAAGGACTTGGCCTTTGCTTTAGGTGGAGAGGTACAGTCTGGGTCCATTGCCTGGGAGATCTTCAAGTATTCTGGTCTGAGGCTGCTCCAGCTGACATTTTTGGGAGTTCGCCTGGTTCCTACCATATTTTTCCAGGAAGCAGACAATGTGGGGTTTAGGGTTTTTTTATTCTTCCCTCTCCTTTTTTTTAATATGAGATGTCAGGATTTCCCCTGTGGCTGTAAGAAAGAGTCTGTATTGTTCTACTCCCATTGGTATGTACAAATGAATTGCCGGTTCCCAAGGTCAGAGGATGATATTTCATTTTAGTGTGCACGCTGAAGCAATATTTTAGGTAAACACAACAAATTCAGGTTTGATTCGCACCTGTAATACATTCCTGCAATTTGAAAGTGACACTACAGACATCCATAGCAATGGGAGACTTGGGGCTACTTAAACAGATTGGAGTCCAATGGCTTCAGGTAAGGGTTGAGACATCTCACCAAGGGCCCATACCAAATTATCTCCTAAGCCAGTTCACTGTCATCCTTCCTTAGCCTGTGACAAAGGTGAAATAATTTGACAGCCTAGGTGCCAGCTGAAGAAAGCTAAACAGTGACTGATCATCCTCCGTTTGCTGAGGTCACTCCCAGGACATTGCTACATCTTGGCTGATTTTAATTATTAAGTTGTGTTAACATGGTTATCTATTTACATTTCTGAGTCCTATATTGGGGATTTTCAGAGAAGGAGGTCATGGGAAACTTAACACATTTTCACTTGTTTTTGCAAAACTTTATACTCTGCTGGTCTTGAGCAAAGGAAAAACTTTCCATAAGAAATATATGAAATATGATCTGTGTTTAAGTGTCAAGTTGCAGCTTGAGATGAGAGTTCAGTGCATCAAGGTCTGAGGTCAGAAATACTTTTGAGAAAATCAACCACTTCTAGTAGAAGAAAAATAAGAAAGATGAGGAAAAGTTTTCTTCTACCAAATCCTTTGTCAGAATAATTAAAGTCTGCAGAGCTAGTGTAATACCTATGAGTCTTCTCACCTGAAATGTGGGCACTGAATCCAAGATATTCCTAAGTAAAAATATTTCATAAGTAAAGGTATTATAAGTTTCCTGTAACTAATATGGTTTGTGTGTTAAAACAGACCAAAGCTCTGTACCAAAACAGAGCTTACTATGCACTAGAATTAATTGCTATATGCCCATGGTATGTTGCTGCCATTAATTACAGTGGTACAGGTAGGAAGCCGGTTCCACGGTGACTGGATGTGGACAGGACATAAGCTAAGCCTAATGTGTAGCCCTGTGCTGGGCAAGCCATCTTCTGCTTGTCTGTTTCTGAGAGCAAAGATCCCCAGCAGAATCCCTACTGTCCACTCTCAGCTGCAGGAGACATACCCCGTACAGGAAATCAAAGAATTAGAAAAGCCAACCAACCAAAAAAAACCCCCAAAAACCCAAACCCAAGCCAGGTCTGTAGTGAATTGCATGAGAGATGTTTCTGTTCCTTCTTGTGGAAGGAGACAACTCCACACTGAATGTCATTGTTGGGAAATGCTTATGGCCCATGCTTATAATGTTCATGGATCAGTTCCTACCAACAGGAACCATTTCCTCTAATACATCCACAACTCAGCCCTTGAAGTTACCAGTTCTGCTTTATCCCATTTATCTATCAAAGACGTGAAAAGCTGGTAGCCAGTGAGGAAAGCAGCTGTACAGACAAAGCCCCAGTAGAAGTATTTTCCCTTTGTCCAGGATTTGCCAGCAGGGAGCAGGAGTTTTGCCCTCTTCGTGGCTAGTGTCAACCCAAGTTAACTGCTTTCCTGTTTTCTTTTTCCGTCCTTGCATACAGCTCAGGCTGCAGAAGAAAAAAAAGAAGTTCCCACTGTATCTGGAAAAGTGGACAAGGCTCAGGGTAAGAAAGATGGATCCAAAGGGTCCAAGAAGAAGGATGGTGAAAAGGACCAGAAAGAAGGATCCAAGAAAGAAGGGAAGGATGGGGCCAAAAAGAAAGAAGGAGAAAAGGGAGAAAAGGGAGAAAAGGGAGAAAAGGGGGGAAAGGGGGGAAAGGGGGGAAAGGACACTACTGAGAAGAAACAAGGTGGTGGGAAGAAAGGTGAAAAAGAAGGCGAAGCGGTAAAATCAGGAGGAAGCACCAAAACTAATGGCAAGGCTGGTGGGAATGCCAAAGCCCCAGCAAAGAAGAAGTGACCTTGCTAAAAGACAGTGCTGGCGGCCTTTCAGGGAGGACACTGTCAAATTCCTGTGGGTAGAGCACTGGGAGCAGATAGGACATGCTGTCGCCATATACACAGGCTGTTGAGTGCCACTGGATGTATGGATTTATTACCTTTTGAAGACCAAGTCACTGTTCTTTTGTCCACCAAAGGAAAACCTGGCCATTTGGCTAGACAGTATCTTGTAAATAAAATGCACCATGCAGAGCTACATGGTAACAACAGCTGGAACTAAACTGCAACTTGGAGTGAGAATCAGGACTTTGGATAAGCATGGAAATGCAGAGATGAAGATCTAAACTCGTGGAAGGACACGATTCGTTTAAAATTTGTTCTTCTTGAGGACCTTAAGGAGTTTGATACGTATTTACTAGCACTCATCTCCTCCTCAGTAGGATTTGCATGTGGGTAATTCTAGGGATTAAGTAAATTCTGGATGCTAAAACCCAAAGAATGGAGTTTTCTAACTCATAGCTCATGTGATTTCTGAGAAGTGGCTTGGACAGACACATGGGAGAAAGCTTTCCTTCCTTCCCAGATGCCTCTTTCTCTGGACTGCTGAAGGAAATACAAAGAACTGCATATCTCCCAGAAGATTTATCCAC